ATTGTTGTCAAAAAATTAAACCCTAAAAGTACACAGACACAAAAAAGTAAAAAATAATGAACAAAAAACAACAAAAATAAAGTACAAAATAATGGATTATTTTGTACTTTATTTTTGTAATTATTGTATTATTTCATATAAGTTTTAATTTATAAATTAGCAAATAGTAATTGCTAAACTGCTTACATTTTCTACAGTAGCAAAAAACAAATAAATATTACACACATACACATACCATTCTGAGATAGAAGTAATATCATTGATAAACTTTGTTATATGGATTTTAATAATAATTTATTTATTTATTTCCATTTTTATATTTGAGTTTAGCTTTATTTTAAAAAAGCATTTAAAATCAAGCATTGTGTAATCCATAAATAAGAAGAACCGTTTAGATTCCTTTTTAAATAGATCTAGAGAGATTATCGTTTTATTTTTTACGAGCAAATGTTTTTATTATCATGACTGCTGTGGTCATTTAAATGTCTTGGTTCGCAAAAAAGTACAGTTTGCATTTTTACTGACTACTTAGTTCTTGATTTTTAATTTAATATTCTATAAGTTCTTGATTTTAATTGACTATTCTATAAAACTAATTAGTATTTTTACTTATTACATTATTACTTATTTACTTTAATATTTTCTACATAATAAAAGTATCTTTAGCATATAAGACAGTTGCGTGAAACTTAGGCTATGAGAATATTTTAACTCTCTCATAAGGATTTATTTAAAAAGCAAATTTGGACATTGAAAAATGGGCCCAATAGACCTAGTTATTTCAAATAAGTTAGCTTTATCTGTTTGATATATTTTATAAAAGCCTTTCCGTAAAAAAACTCTAAACAAATTCAATACAATAAACTGTTTTAACTGCGGAATTAGGCAAATAAATTTTAAAACCTGTTGCTTGTGCGATTTATACTTAATGGAAATGGAAACCGTCTTGATCGTACAAAAAAATATACAATCAATTATCTATTTTTGAAATATTTATTTTCCTTAATAACATTACCAGTTATTTTTAGTTTTTTAAAATCAAATTTTAGATCTTTAATGTAATTCTATTTCAACTCTGCTACAATTCTGCTATTATTCTACTACATTTCAAGAAAATTCACAAAAATTTATATTACTTTTACCTCTTTTTTTCTAAATAAAAATGCAATTCAACCGGCGAAAAACATTTGCATAAAAATGTTATAAAGGTATTCTGTAAAAATATATCAAAATTTAGGAAATATGTTACAATTTTGAATATATATTAAAATTTAAATATACCCAATGAGTACACAACAGCTCTCAGCAATATTGTATTCAATACTGCATTCAGTTCACAACAAAATTGTTATTTTCTAGAATGTTGCCGACGAATTCAACATCATCTTCTTCATTTACTCCAGTTTTAAGATATTTTATCTTTGAAATTTCTCCTTCACTTTGATAATTTTTAGCATCATCAGTTTTCGACTCTAGTAGCATTGATAAAAAATTTGTTTGATCTTTAAATATTGGGTTATCTGGAATCAAACCGGCATTATAAAACTTATATTTTACTGAGTCACGAGTAAAATTAATAAACTGAAGACTAATTCCCATTTTAAATAACTCATCTTTCATAAACTCAAAATTCTTAAGTATTGTAAAATCAATTCGCACCATAGTTGACATATCTAAGTACAATGTTTTGATTTCAAAATTTTTATTAATTTCGGAATAAATTGTTTTATTTAATGCATCAACTCCAGGATATGTTAAATTTTCCATAAGTAAAATTGTTAGAGATTTTTTAGAGTCATCCTTTTCCAAATAATATTTTGGACGCGCTTCGCGGGAAAGCATTATTAGTATTGAAATCCCAGTTCCTGCCAAAACTCCATACTCTAGTTTGTAAAAACTTGTGCCAAAAGCAGCCAAAAATGGTAGTAAGTCCCATTTGTATATTTTCCAAATTTTCTTAATTAAACTCATTTCAATCATAGTTAAAACGGCCATCAGCATCATAGCTCCAAGTGCAGCAGACGGAATGTAATAAAAAGCTGGAGTCATAAACTCTAGAGCTATTAATGCAATGATTCCTGATATTACACCTAAAAATAACAATAATATTTTTTAAAATTAATAACTTTTAACTAGTAAAAAGTCCTTTGGCTTGCCAAACTCTCATGAGTGATGCAACCAATTATAAGTAACTTTATTAAATATAACAAACAATAGTTGGTTAATTTGCTATCTAATTTTTATTAGTTGCCCTCATCAAGCAAATCATCACACAGAAAATAATGAATGTCCGGAAATAGTTTAAAGTACTATAACTAAAGACGTTTATAAATACAATGCACCTGCTAAAGGAGTTTGTGCACCACTCATAGAATTAACAGCTGAACGTGTAAAACTTCCACCAACAGTCCAACCTCCAAAAAAAGAAGCAACAATATTCATCATTCCTATAGCAATTAACTCATTTTGTGCTTTTACTTTGTAATTAAACTTTTTTCCA